ACCAACACCGAAATCTAGGATCATTTTTTCCATGTGGAGACAATCCCCTGTGCTGGTGTTGGGGCCAATTTCCAGGCCTCCAAGAAATGCTCGCGCAGCTGGACTCAGGCCAGGCCCCGGCTGCGACCATGCCTGACTCAAGCACCAGGCCTTCTTCACATACGCCGCGCCGAGCCAAAAGCTCGCGCAGCTGGAATCAAGCCCGCCCAGCTGCGACCAGCAGGCCCAAACATAAATCAAGCCTCACTAGAATCTGCTTAACTAAATGCTCATGCAGCTGGAATGTGGCCAGGTCTATCTACACGCAGGCCGAACTCACACACCAGGCCTAAGCCTTACTACAGCACCAGGCAGAACTAAAAGAGACCTAACTAAAGGTTCACGCAATTGGAATCGGGCCAGGCCCAGCTACAACCAGACCGAACCAAGGCACCAGGCCTAAATCAAATATACCAAATTAAACAAAGGCCCACCGAAATGCTCGCGCAGCTGGAACCAGGCCAGATCCAGATACAACCAGACCTCGCCGAAGCACTATGCCTGACTCAAACAGGCCCAACTAACATAAGCCCATGTAAATGCTCGCGCAGCTGGAATCAGGCCAGGTCCAAACCAGGCCTATCTAAAGCATCAGGTTGGACTAACATAGGCTTAACTAACATAGGCCTACCGAAATGCTCGCGCAGCTGGAATCAGGCCAGGCCCAGCTACAACCAGGCCGAACTAAGGCACCAGGCCTAATTAGAATAGGCTTCACTAAAGCAGGCCTAACTGAATGCTCGCGCAGTTGGAATCAAGCCAGGTCCAGCTACAACCAGGCCTAACTAAAGCACCAGGCCTCATTGATATTGGCCTACCTGAATGCTCGCGCAGCTGGAATCAGGCCAGGTCCAGCTACAACCAGCCAGCTACATCCAGGCCCAACTAAAGCACCAGGCCTAATTAGCATGAGCCTTATCAACACAGGCCCAACTAACAGCTCGCGCAGCTGGAGTCAGGTCCGGCCCAGCTACAACCAGGCCGAATTAGAGCACCCTGACGAAATATCAGAGGCCTGACCAGAATAAGCATAATCAAAAGCCTGCTCAGCTGGAATCAGGCCAGGCCTAGCTACAGCCAGGCCTAAAATGCAGCGGCAGGCCTCATTCAGATCAGCCTGACTAACATCGCCTAATTCAATGCTCGGGCAGCTGGAACTGGGCCAGGTCCAGCTGCAACCAGGCAGAACTAGAGCACCCTGCCGAAGTATCAGAGGCCTGTCCAGAATAGGCGCAGCTAAATGCCAGCGCAGCTGGAATCAGGCCAGGTGCAGCCACAGCCGGGCCAAAAGCACAGCGAAAGGCTTCACTAAGATCAGCCTAGCGAGCATGGCCTAACGGAATGCTCGCGCAGCTGGCATCAGGCCAGGTCCAGGTACAACCAGGCTTAGCTTAAGTAAAGCACCGGGTCTTATTCAAATAGGCCTAGCTAAATGCCAGCGCAGCTGGAATCAGGCCAGGTCCAGCTACAACCAAGCCGAACTACATCAACAGGCCGAACCATAGTAGGCCTAATTGAATGCTCGCGCAGCTGTGACCTGGCCAGGTCCAGCTACAACCAGCCAGCTACATCCAGGCCTAACCACAACACCAGGCCTAGCTAAGATAAACTTCCCGTAGGCCTACCTAAATGCTCGCACAGCTGGAGCTGGAATCAGGCCAGGCTCAGCTTACAACAAGGCTAGCTACAGCACCAGACCTAACTAAACCATGTTTAACTCGAATAGGTCTAACGAAATGCTCGCGCAGCTCGAATCAGGTCTGGCACAGCTACAACCAGGACTGACTAAAGCGCCAGGTCCGATTTATTGTTGCCTAAATTAAATAGACATACATAACGACATGCTGTCGCAGCTGGAATCAGGCCAGGTCCAGCTACACCAGGCTTAACCAAAATGCTGGCGCAGCTGGAATCAGGTCTAACTAAAAGTAGGCCGACCGCAATCAGGCCTAACTAAAACACCAGGCTTAACTGAAACATCAGGCCTAACTACAGACTAGGCTTGGCTAAAGCACACCTTCCTAGCTACAACCAGGAAGGACTGGTTGAGAGTCAGCAGTCCCTCTCGCCTGTTGCTTTGTGGGTGTTGCTGATGGTTGCGTGTGGAAGCAGAGTGTCCGTCGGCTTTTCGTTTCCGTCGGCTTGGATTTTCCGTCGGTCAGGGGGGGCATTCTGCGGGGCCCTCGTCGCCACGCGAGAGGAACGGCATAGGGGCAGAGATAGCCGGACCGCGCGCCATCAGCCACAGTTCCGAAGGCCAAGCTTGGTCGCCCAGGACAGGCCTGAGGGCAGAGGAGGCCTTCTTCGCCGCCGCCCTGCGTGTCTCGCAGCCTCGGAGGCCAGGGCTGCAGAACGCAGCAGAGTCCCCCACTCCCTCCTCGCTCCGGGCCTGTGCCGCCGCCGACGAGCCTCTCTCGGCCGACGTGGGGCCAGGGGGGCGGGTGGCGAAGGAAATCGTGCTCCGAGCGTTCGGCCCGATGGCCGACGCTCGCCCACGAGTGCAGGGCCTGGGTCGTCGAGCGATCCAGCGGGCGTCTTGCAGGGTCGGACTCCGATCTCGCGTGGGAGTCCGACGGCGAAGGCTTCGGGTGAGCTTCTTGTTGATTGCCTTTCTTCAGGGCCAGCCCGAGCCAAGCCCTCCTCTCTCCTGCTCCTTGCTCCCCTTCGCGATGCCTGCCTCTCTTCTCCTCCCCCCCTCCCCGTCCTCCCCTCGTCCCCCTCGACCGCAACCTGCTGCAGTGCCATGTGCTGCAGACGCAAAGCAACTGCAGCGCAGCGCAATGCAACGCAACAGGATGCAATGCGACGCGCTACAACGCAGCAGCGTGCAATGCAGCGCAGGGCAACGCGCGCAACGCAATGTAGTTTGAATGCCATGCAAACAGATGCAAACGCAACACCATGCAACACAACGCAATGTAACGCAACAGGATGCAATCCAACGCAATGCAATGCAACAGCGTACAATGCAACGCAGGGCAACGCACTGGAATGCAATGCGATGCAATTCAATACACTTGTAAGTTAATGCAAATGTAACTCAATGCATTGTGATGCAACGCAACATGACACAGTGCAATGCAACGCAGCACAACGCAACGCAATGCGACGCAGCTCAATGCAACGCAATGCAATGCAATGCCTCTTTCCTCCTCCCCTTCATCTGGTGCCGGACACATGTTTGAAACCCGCAACGTCTGGGCTTTCATACGGCGTCAACCGGCTCGCTGTTCTTCGTTTTGAGCTCCCAACGCCTGGGTTCTCAGACGGCGTCAATTGGCCAATTGTGGCACACACACACAAATATACACACCCCTCACACGGATTGCGCCTCGGGAGTTGGAGAGCTTTCTTGTCAAGCCCTCAGTGTTTTTTTCGTGTTGAGCCCCGTTCCAGTTTTCTGGGAGTTTCCCATATCGGAAACGTATCTCCCCATCCCAGACAAGTCCCCGGGAAGGTCTCCCCGCCCTTCTTTGGACGCCCGAAGTGGGTACGAAAAAAAAGGGTACAATGCCCAGACAACAAATGTTGTCCAACACCGACCGCGGCCGCTGTTGGGCAGGCGGCTTCGTGTCTTCAGCGAACAGCGTCCGCGGCGGCGCGGACAGCGAGTCATGCTCAAAATAAACAGGAACTGCTGCTGGGCATCGTACCCATGCTTCCCGTACCCACTTCGATCGCCCCGACCTTCGCGTTCACAGCCCTCCGGAACGCTCCCAGAGCGTTCCGCAACGCTCTGGGAAGGCCCCGGCGCCCGAGGCATACCCGATGTTATCCTCGTCTTCGCTTCGTCTTACGGGAAACCTCCCTTCGGTGGCAAATCGTGGGAGTTTGGTATGTTCCCTTCAATCCGTCTGTCAGCGTCGACGAGCGTCGATGAGCCTCTGGAGTCGATGGCATAGCGCCGATTTAGCGTCGGCTAGCGTCGCTCAGCTTCGATGCAGCGTCGACCAGCGTCCATTCGCGAGAGCCGACGAGATGATGATTATGGGAGGCCCCCATGAGTTTCACCATCCACGGCCAGCCCAGGCAGTTTTCTGACCGCCAGCAGGGGGCCGCTCCCGGCAGGGAGTGGACGTCAGGCCTCTCTCTCTCTCATGAGTTGCCACAGCACCTCCCCGCCCTTCGCTCGTTTTGTGGGTGGGTCTCTCGAGCTCTCCGCCGCCTCTGGCGGTGTGCGTTGCGAGCAGGAGCGCGGCAAAGCCACTGGGAAGCACGGCAGTGACGGTGTAGCTCCGCACACGTGACACCGCCCTTCGCTCCGCCGCTCGCCGCTCGCCCTTCGCTCCGCCGCTCTTCGCTCCGCCCTTCGCCTTTCGTCATTCTCCCCGCCCTCCGCCCTTCGTCATTCTCCCCGGCCTTCGCTCCTCGCTCTTCGCTCTTCGCTCTTCGTCATTCTCCCCGCCCTTCGCTCCGCCCTTCGTCATTCTCCCCGCCCTTCGCTCTTCGCTCTTCGCTCTTCGCCATTCTCCCCGCCCTGCGCTCCGCCGCTCGCCGCTCTCCGCCGGCCTCCGCTCCCCGCCGCGGGCCGCGCGCCCTCCCCGCGCCGCGAGCGGCCCCCGCCCCGCGCCGCGCCGGGGCGCCGCCCCGAGAGGGCTCCGTCGGGCGTGTCCCTCTACGGGAGGCAGGTGCACAGCATTTTTTGTGGATCTGCGGGGCGAGGGCGAGCCTCTTCCGCTAAAAGCCAGGCGGGCTACGCACAGCTTCAATCAGGGAGACAGGGCACAGGAAGGCGGGGCCTCAGGCGGCCGGAGTGGGCGAGGCCCAGGGGTGCAGGCGGTGCGGAGACATATGCACAAAAGGGGTACAAAAATAGTCGGGGGACGATCTCTGGAGCATTTGTTCATCATCTCTGAGTGCTTTTGGAGCACTGCCAATTTTTCGCCTGAGATCCCCCTGTCGGGGGACAGGCCCGACCTCACGATAGGGCGCGCCCGCCCGCCTGCCGGCAGCGCTTCCAGGGGCGCCATGGCGCCGCTCAGCGCGCCGCCGCCCTCGGAGCGGCGGGCCCCGGAGCGGCGGGCCCCGGGCGGCAGGCCCGCAGCCGGGGGGGGAGAGGGGCAGCGACGAGAGGGCCCAGACTTAGGTCGGGCATGTTCCCCTGCAGGCCGATCTGGGAAATCTTACAAAACAAAAAAAGAGCTATCTATCGATCTATCTATATATCTATCTATCTATCTATCTATCTATCTATCTATCTATCTATCTATCTATCTATCTATATATCTATCTATCTATCTATCTATCTATCTATATATCTATATATCTATCTATCTATATATCTATCTATCTATCTATCTATCTATCTATCTATCTATCTATCTATCTATCTATCTATCTATCTATCTATCTATCTACCTATATATCTATCTAGCTATATATCTATTTATCTATCTATCTATATATCTATATATCTCTATATGGCTGATTTTAGATCTGTAAGCACAGGAGGGTATGGCCGCAAGGATGCCGCATGTGAGAATTCACAGTCCCGTGTGCTATCCGTGGCACGCGGCTCAAGCTCTTGAGGGGGTGGTCGGTCCCAGAGCCCCGCACGCGCATGCAGGCGCTGGCCGAGGCCTTTACGGCTGAGGTAGCGCGGGCGGCGCAGACAGCCGCCGTGGTCTGGGGGCTGTCGCGGCCGCCGCCGCCGTGCCCCGACTGCCACTGCTTGCCCCAGCTCGTGTGCGGCCCGGGGGAGGCGGTGAAGGAGCTGGTGCCCGTGGAGTGCAGCTGCCCGTTCCCTTGGGTGTGGTTCGTGCTCGGCCTGAGCATCGTGGGCGCGGCCGGCTTCGCGGCTGGGCGCCGCTGCGACCAGAAGGCCTGCACTGGCGACACGCCCAAAACAGACATCTCCCTTTCGATCGAGGACATCGCCCGTGAGCAGGCCGCTCGATTTCGTAGCCGCAGCCAGGCGACTCAACGTGTGAGCTGATGGCTAATCCCTTGGCCCACTTGGGCCTGTGGGAGGGCGACGTGATCGCTGTGCGTTACGGAGTGGTGGGGCCCCGGATCTGGCATGAAAGGATCATCCTCTTGATTCCTCCTGGGGCCCAGCCGATTGTCAGCATTCTTACCCCAGACGGTGATCAGTACGAGGAGGAGCTGTCAGCTGGAGGCGACATCCGGGAGTTCGCGATCTTGGAGGGCGGGGCGTTCGGACGAGATGCTGGACCCGTCGGAGCCGATCATGTGCACAGGTTTCGGAATGTGCCTTTGCCTGCTGCAATGCAGCGACTTCGAGACGCTGCTGCAGCTCGCCTTGGCCTGCCATTGCGCCCAGGCTTCGCGGTGAACGTAGTCGGCCGTGCTGGTTTCGCTGGAATGCCGATGCCCGCTGCTGGAGCTGACGGGGCCGCCGGAGGCGGTGCTGCCGGAGGTGTGGCTGGCCTAGCCGCAGCCCTGGCCGTGCCCGCGCCCGCAGCGCCTGGAGGAGCGCTTGTGGCAGGCGGTGGAGCAGGTGGCGCGGCCGACGGCCTAGCACCGGGTGGAGGGCTCGTCCCCGTGGCCGCGCTGGCCGCTGGGGGAGCTGCCCTTGTGGGGCCGGGGGGGGGCCTGCTGCCTCCTGCCGTGGCGCCACCGGCGCCGGCAGCAGCCGTGGCTCCGGGCCTGGCCCCCGCGGGCGCCGCGGGCCCTGTGGGTCTCGCGGGCGCCCCCGCGGTGGCGGCCCCGGCTCTGGCCCCGGCGCCAGCCGCCGCCGCCGCGGCCCCGCTCCCTGGTGCTGCACCTGCTCCCGCTGCTCCTCAGGGCATCAGCGACGTGCGCGTGCAGGCCGTGTCGCTTGACGTGCAGGGCAACCGCCACCGTTCCTTCCGCGACGCCATTCTGATGATGCGAGAGGACGCGTGGCCGGACTGGCCAATCCGAGGCCCACGGACCGTCCTATGGGTGCTGAAGTTCATGGAACAAAATGGAGGAAGCCCCATGGGCCGTCATATGCGATTTCGGACCGAGGCCAAGTTGTCGTCGTCCGACGTGGGGGTTGACGAACATGAGAGATCATGTCGGATGTTGGAGCAGATGGTATTCTACGATCAGCTCATGGTCACCAACCTGGCGTGTGCCGAATCGTTGTGCCTTGTGATTCAAGTGCAGGAAGAACGATGCCGTGATAGGCTGGCTGGGGGGTCGGACAGTGTTGCCGACAACCGTCTGTACATGGGGACGGACATGGTTCGAGGATGTGTGTGCGTGAGCCCCCAGCTTGCCGATTTCGTGAAGGATCAACTCTCGAAGGAGTACCAGATCTCGAAGGAGCGCCGCAAGGCGCGAGGGGAGCGGGCCATGGCCAAGAAAGGAGCCAAGAAAGGCGGCAAGGATGGTTCAGGGCCCGGCGATGGGACGTGAGCTACCCCCGAGCCCGGGAGATGGGGACCCGGGCTCGAGCGACTTTTTGAATCCCCGTTCTGGTGGCAGCTACCGGCAGAGAGACGTCTTCCCGCTCCCTCTCCTCGGCCCTCGCTCCGATGCTCCAGCGAGTGTCTGCAGGGCCGTGCGCCGTCGCCGCCTTCGCCTCCAGCATTCAGTCAATTGGGCGAATGATGCTGTGAAGGCCCTCAATCAGATGTCAGGATATAAGGAGGCTGCGCCGGCCCCCGCTTCTCTTGCTCAGAAAAGAGTACTCGATCGCTTCAGCGATTGCTACTGTCGTCTGGGCCCTCCTCCCAGCGAGGCGGGATTCGCTCAGAGAGCCTTCAGCGAGCTTCTGAGCAACCATTCTTTGTACGGGGATGCGGGCCCCACCCGTCCTTATTCGCGTGACCTCGTTGCGTGGCCTGATGAGGGCGCGGTCCCTGTTGACCTTCATCGTTTGCTCTCACAGGCCGATTCCTCTTGGCTTATGGATTGGAGATCGCACATGCTGAGGCCAGCAACTGAGGCCCAGGTTTTGGTGCAGGAGGCCTGTCCCAAAGGAGCCTATATCGACCCTATCCTCTCCCACTCCCCCTCCGCGTACGCTGACTTTCTGGTCTGTCTGGCCCGGCGCGGGATGTTTAGCTTTCGGCCTGCGCGGGGTAGGAAGGGCCTCCTTGGAGTATTCTGCGTGGCCAAGACGTCTGATCAACTACGTCTCATTTTCGACACTAGAGTTGCCAATTGTTATTTCAACGCCCCCCCCTCTACTCGACTCTCCGCGGCTTCCGCCTTCTCTGCCATCGAATCGAGAGGTGGCCCTTGTCTTGCTGCTTCAGGTGACGTTCAGTGTGCCTTTTATCACATGCGGGTTCCCGCTGACATGATAGAATGGTTCTCTTTGCCGCCCATCGATTCGGGTTTACTCATGTCCTTTGGACTGGAGGGTGTTCCTCAGATGGCGGGACAGGCCCTCCTTCCGTGCATAACTGCGATGCCTATGGGTTTCTCCTGGGCCCTTCATTTTTGTCAGGCTGCGATGCGAAATGCGATCCAAGAGGCGGGCTTCAGCCCGAGTCGCGTCATATCTGACGGTGAGCCCGGCGTCGCGTTCAGGACAGCTGATGACACGGCTGCTGCGGGCTACGTTGATAACTTTCTCGTGCTGGGCCAGTCTCAGAAAAATGTGAAGGCTGCTTTTGACCAGATTAGCGCTAGGCTCAGATCTGTTGGTCTCCTCGTGCATGAAGTCTGTGAGCCGTCTAGGGATTCGACCTTTCTCGGGCTCTCCCTCGTCGCCGGCCGCTGGCTGTCTGTGAAGCCTCGGAATCTCTGGCGCCTGCGCTTCGCCATTGAGCGCCTTTTGGCCAGGGGGTCCGCCAGCGGTGTCTTTCTCAGAGTTATTGTTGGCCATATCACGTGGTCCTCGATGGTCCGTCGTGAAGCCTTGGCCATCCTGAATGCGTGCTACGCGTTCATTGAGACGGCAAAGGATGTGGTGACCCCCCTCTGGCCTCAGGTGGTATTAGAGCTTCGTAGGATTGTTGCTATTCTCCCTCTCCTCACAACGGACATGTGTGCTGGGTGGCATCCGCTGATCTGTGGCTCGGACGCTTCAGAGTTCGGTCTTGGAGTTTGCCATCGGTCACATTTTGAGGATCAAGTTGCTGCGATCGGTCGAGTAAGCGAGAGAGTGAGATATCGTGTGGAGGGCGCGGAGAAGGCTCGCCTCAACGCACTTCGGGAGTCTAGGGGCTTCGAGGACTCTCGGGACGTCGTCTACGCGGAGCGGGCGGACTACATGCCCCTCGGGTTCATGGACGTGTACCCCCTGCTCTTCGAGGAGATCCCCGCGGACCTCATGAGGCCCCAGGATTGGAAGGATGTCTTGGCCGTTCCGGTGGGCTACGACGCCGATATCATGCATTTAGAGGGTGAGGCCCTCGTGTTGGCCTACAAGCACATCCTGCGCGCTGGTGCTGCCGCGGGGCGGCGAGTGGTTGCCCTCGTCGATAACATGTGTCTGGCGCTGGCTTGCTGCAAGGGCCGAGCGAAATCAGTTCACCTTCAGTCTGTCATGTTGAAGCTGGCCTCGTTGTCACTGGCTTCAGGGTGCCGTCTGCGCGTTCGTTGGATCCCCAGCGAGAGGAACCCGTCGGATCGCCTCTCCCGTGGCCATCTCGGACGGTTCTCAGGCTTCCGCGCGGCGCGCCGCCTGCCGCCTGCGGGCGACGCCGCGGGCCGCACCTGGAATGGCGAAGGAGCGGGCCAGAGCACAGCGCGAGACGCGTGTTGCCACCGCCCAGCGCCTGACCGCACAGCGGGAGCCATTGGGGTCCCTCACGGGTCTCGAGCAGATTGCGATCCGCCTGGTGACGGAGGCTCTCTACAAGAAAAATGCGACAGATGCGACAGCCTTCCTGGACCTGTGCGCCAAGCGGGGCCTGGACTGGCACGACGTCGTGGAGATGGACGCGGTCCCAGCCCAGCACATGGTCGATTGCTCTCACCACAACGCGTCGTCCGACCACGGCGCGCAGCGGCTGGGTGGCCTCGCGCATCTCTACCCGAGCTTGCAGGGGCAGTGGGGGCTGCAGTGGCCGAGGGCTGCTCACGCCTCGATCCGTTGGAAGCGGAGGGTGCCTGTGGGAACCCGGCTGCCATTGCCGAAGGCGGTAGCCATGGCCATGTGCCTGTTGCTGGTGGAGGCGGGTGCGCCCTGGATGGCCGTCTGGGTCGCACTGCCGCTCGTTGCCTACCTGAGGCCCGGCGAGACGTTCAAGTGCCTGTGGTCGTTCGCGGTCGAGGCCTTGAGGCCGAAGTACAGCCGCTGCTGAAGCCTCCTGTGCTTCCCCCGGGTCTCGGACCACCTGTGCGGCCACCGCCACGGGGGCGCGTTGGACGGCTCGGTCACTCGCCGAAGGAACGCGTTCCAGGGGGAGCTTCAAAGCAGGTTGGCCTCCGTGAAGAGTTGAGAACTGTACGGCAAGGAGACAAAGCTGCTGCCGGAGATCCGCTCTGCGCACGGCGGCGCATTTCGTCTCGGACATCTCAAGTTTGAACATTTCTGGGCGGTGGTCATGGCAGACGGGACCCTGGAGGCCAGCATCGGTCACCTCATCCCAGCGACGCTCGCGCTGGCGGTGCGAGCTGCCCGAAGGCTGCGCCCATCAGGCGATCGCAGAAGCCACCAGTGAGACCCTCCTACTCCCTCAGTGCCTCTGAAATTCGTGCCCACCTGCAGTGCCGTTTTAAGGGGGAGTTACCTAGGGGAAAGGGGTCCCATAATTCGTCTCAGTATCGTTTGTTTCTTGAGCTGTTTGCCGGGTCCGGGTCCCTTTCGAAGGCCCTTCGGGGCCTGGGCGTTTCTGCCCTTGACCTGGATTCTAAACATTCGGCTGGTGAGGACCACCTGCACCCTGCTTTCATCAAACTCGTTCGTGGGTGGATCTCTAGTGGATGTGTCTCGGGGGTGTTATTGGGAACCCCGTGCACGTCTTGGAGCAGGGCCCTCCGTCATCCGCTTCGCTCGCGCGACCGCCCGATGGGCATCCCTCCCGCTTTATTCTCACAGGCGGAGCAAGGACGGCTGGCGGCAGGGAGTGCCACTTTCACTTTTAGTTGCCGAGTAGTTGATTTATGCATCAAGTGCGGTGTTCCAGTGTATATCGAGAACCCAGCCCTGTCCCAGATGGCAGATGTGGTCTGCGCCCCGCATGCTACAGCTGTGCCAAAAACCTATGCATCAGTCAGTTGTTTTCCACATGTGTCAGTATGGCACCCGATGGATGAAGCCCACTCGTATCTCTGCCTGGCTTTCTCCCTCTCTCCACTCTCTCCAGAAGAAGTGCAATTGTCGCCACGGCCTGTGCAGTAGGACCCAGAAGCCACACATTGTCTTGACGGGAAAGGCTCCTGGCGGCAAAAACTGGACCGCCTTAGCTGCCTCGTATCCGCCGAGATTGGCTCAGTCCGTTGCGAAGTTAATGATCCATGGGTCAATGCGAGTCGCTATTCGTCGTTTGTGGGCCCTCGCCTTTGGACTCGATGTCTAGCTGCCTGGCAGGTAGCAGCGTCGTGTACTTCCCTGATGGTCGGGTTGCCGGTGGTGCCGATCCTCTTGGGGGGTGCTGACACTGTTGCCTGTTGGTGCGTCTTGGGGGCTTTGGGCGACCACTGTGTTCCGTTTTAAGTTTGACTTGTTGGTTCGGCCTTGGTGGCCCAGTCATTCCTGCGGGATTCGGGGGATCTCCTTTGCTGTCATCTGGCCTGTGATCCCGTGTCTCGCCCTTGGCCTTGGGGCCCAGGATGGATGGCTGATGTCGCCTGCGGTCGGAGTTCTCACAAAATTATTTGGCATCCATCGTCCACCTGGTTGTGCTGGTTGATTTTAGATCTGTAAGCACAGGAGGGTATGGCCGCAAGGATGCCGCATGTGAGAATTCACAGTCCCGTGTGCTATCCGTGGCACGCGGCTCAAGCTCTCCCTCCCGCCCTCCCTGTCGCTTGCATCCTTTGTGCTGCACTGTCTGGGGATCTCCTTTGCTGTCATCTGGCCTGTGATCCCGTGTCTCGCCCTTGGCCTTGGGGCCCAGGATGGATGGCTGATGTCGCCTGCGGTCAGAGTTCTCGTAAAATTGTCTGGCATCCATCGTCCACCTGGTTGTGCGATATATATATATATATAGATATAGATATAGATATAGATTTGTTTTTGGGGAGATTTTGGCCGATGAGAACATGTAGAACAATAGCGAAAAGGCCGATGTCGGACGAAATATTCAAAACAATTCAGAAGTTAGCAACAAACATGCCCCAACAATCGTCCCCAGACTTTTTTGAATACTATTTCTGAACATTCCTCCTGTAGAGGGAGGACAGGCCCGACTTAAGCCTAGACCCCCCCCCCTCACGTCGCGACAAGAATCGCGACGGGCGGTTGTTCGCTAGTTTCGGCTTCCGGGGGGCCTCACCAAGGCCCCCGGGCCGTCAAG